TAAAGGAGAACTGAGATGCCTAAATAGAACCCATGGCTATCAAACTATTTGACAGGAGGGCCACGAGCATGGTCAGGGGACTGGAGCACCTCCTGTATGAAGGTAGGCTGAGAAAGTTGGGGCTGTTCAGCCTGGAGAAGAGAAGGCTGCGTGGAGACCTCATAGCAGCCTTCCAGTATCTGAAGGGGGCCTACAGGGATGCTGGGGATGGACTCTTCATTAGGGACTGTAGTGATAGGACAAGGGGTAACGGGTTAAAACTTAAACAGGGGAAGTTTAGATTGGATATAAGGAGGAAATTCTTTCCTGTTAGGGTGGTGAGGCAGTGGAATAGGTTGCCCAGGGAGGTTGTGAATGCTCCATCCTTGGCAGTGTTCAAGGCCAGGTTAGATGAAGCCTTGAGTGGAATGGTTTAGTGTGAGGTGTCCCTGGCCACGGCAGGGGGAGTTGGAACTAGATGACCTTAAGGTCCTTTCCAACCCTAACTGTTCCATGATTCTAAGAGAATAGATATGTTTTGAGGGTGTTTTAGAGATTTTTCACTTTGAAGGTGCTCAACTCCACCTACATGATTTGCACAACACTCCTGTGAAGAGGCATTGTTTCAACTCACAGGTGCAACAACTGAAGCTAAAAAAAATTTAAAAAGAGGGTAAGTAATTTTGCCAGAGGCAGGCGGGGGAGTGAGTAGCCAAGGTGAGAGCTCTGGAATTTCAGGCCTCCAGCCCAGACCAAGACACATCCCTCTCTGCTCTAACGCAGAACTGAATGGAGAACTTGCTGCCAGTCATTTATCAGCATAGAAGGATTCCCAAGGGTATTTTCTTTTATGAGAAGCACACTCACTATTTCAGGGGTATTAGTTACACAAAACTAACTGCTGATCAGGAGAAGGCCATCATGCAGCACTGAATCCAAACTCAGTCCTAAAGTATACTTGATAAAGCAAAAAGACTCCTAATGTTACAACTTGGTAAATAAAAGTTCTGACTTTTAACTTGGAATTACATTTCTTACATGGCACAAATATTTCATTTGCAGTTTACCTTGCATTCTAACCAAAACTTGTATATTTTCATTAGTGTAATTTCCAAGTGCATGGCTCCTTCTCAGGGACTATGGGGAAAAAGCGAAAAAAATCTCTGGACGTGATAAATTATCCTCAGCTAAAGAACAAATGGCTTAGGAGTAGTATAAGCTCAAGCTCCTCATTCCAAAGGATCATTAGTTTTCCATTAGAAAAAAAGAACTAACGCTTCAGAACACAAATTCATCTGTTCTAAAAGTCAAAATCAGTTTTCTGCTGCTTGATGACAGTGAATGTGAATGCTAGAGAATCACATCTGGCTTAAACTGACACCTCCACAGTATACTAAGGAGACCAAAACCCTTTATGATCCCTTAAATAAAAAAAAATAAAAAAAAAATATTAAAAATAAACTCCCCAAACCAAAACGACCCTGTAGCTACAATACTTAGCTAAAGCCAAAATTTCAGCACACACTCCAGACAAACAGTGACATTAGGTTAGGCTATACTACTCAAGTTACGAAGTGTTGCTGCACTATTTCAGTCTCTTGAATAAATTTCTCACATTGGACCTTTTGCTACAAATATGTTTCTGAAACTCAGATTTTTCAGAAATGGTTCCACGTAAAGGTAAAACCATCCGAGCAGGTCCTGAAAAGACCCACTGCTGACTACTTATGCTATTATGACTATTTCCCAGCAGACATTCAGCACCTTACAATACTGAGCTCAAGCTTCCACAAAAATCACTTACACTCACAAAGCCATGTGGAACGACTTCCAGTAATGACTAATGGATTTTTAGCTGCAGTTTTCAAAAACATATTGTAAACTCTGGTATATTAAAACAAACCATTGAATGAAATTCCATATGAAGATGAAACAATCCCAAGGCTAATCTTCTGTGCCAATTACCAGCTTCCTCAAATCAGTTCCACACAACTGGACTGCCACATCACTAAAGACAGACTCAGCTATACTTTACAAAGCTGGTGCCTTTAATCATTAGGTTTTTGTTTAGGTTTTGGGGTGGTTTTTTTTCTTTCTTTTGGTTGATTTTCTGACTGGTAGGCTTTGTTTGGGTTTTGGGGTGTTTTTTTTTAAAACACATACACATAAGTATTATTAAAAGGGCTGTGTATAAGTATTCTGTAGAACCTCAAGAGGCTTTGTTCTGCCCTACTTCTGCAAGGGTAAACTCTGAAAGCAATGACATACAACAGAAAGTCAATGACATACAACAAAAAGTCAAGGAACAAGTTTAAAATGGCTTCACAGCAGATGCTCAAGACCACAAAAGGTAGTATGTTTTGAGTACTGTCACTTAAAAGGAGAATACAATTTATTAGATAAAAAAATTGCAGTGTAAATCATTTTTATGATAAAATTTAAATCCTATTATGCACAAGAGATCTTCCTGTGCTTAGGACTCCCTAAGTGATTCTCACAATGTAAAACCTTTTTAAAAAGAACATTGAACTTGCCAGGAGTCAAGCAGTTAATGACACTAATCAGTACAGCATTCACTAATACATGAAGATGCAATAAATCACACAGCTCAGCCATAATCTTTCTCTGAAATAACTATATTTTTACTGGTCAAATACAAGTTTATTTTTAGTGAAGAAGTGCCAAAGCCCTTTCTTTATATTTGATGAATGTTTCCGCAGAAGCTTGCCAATGTAGATGAGACTCCACATCCCAAGTGACTAGACAACTATTTGAAGGCCTACTACAGGACAACAAGAGAAGAAAATACTGCTGAGTTTTTATTATGCTATTACAGCTCTTCTTTCATCACATTAAAAACCCACACTTCAAGCAGGAACAGGTTCCAAGCCCTCTGCATTTTTAAGGGCTATTTCTAGAAGCCAACCTCTAACAGTCTATTATTGTTTTAAGTGTGCAATACAGAAGCCAGAGCACCCTATAACCTTTAATCCTGTAGTCATCAGGCAACAAATATCGTACACTGCACTTGTACTTGCTGTATTGCAATGCAATCCATTTAAACTGCTTCAATTTTAACACTAGTAAGGAAGATAGAATTTTGACAGGTATCTACCTTGCTAAAATATACAAGTGAAACCCAATGGAAAACAAATGCAACAAATTTTCTAGTAAGTCTTATCCCTTGGGGTAAGGGGAAAAGGAAAAACTCAGATCTGCAAGCCTTTGATCAAGTCTGTGTGATAGCCAAGCTACCTCTCATAATGAGGATGTCACAGGAGACAGAAGGTTAACTTACTTGTAAAACACAGAGTAACTTCTCCAAATGAACAGCTACATTATGTATTCCTAAAACAACTATAATTGTATCATTCTAATGAATGTCTGATGCTGTAACACTGATTTTTAAATGAAAATTTGCCTCTTCCGACGAAGTACCAAATTTGACAATTCTAGTTGAATAACCTATCCTTGATCAGATAATTCAGTAAAAGATTAATAATGAAAATTAAAAAAATAAAAGTACTTGTGCATCCCCCACCCCAAGTTGTCAGTGAGGTGTTATTTCTGGCCTGACTGAAAGTCCCTTCATCTAGGGGAGGAAACTTTCCCAGTGTAAGGAAAAAAAAAACGGTGCAACTGATCTGCCAACTCAGACTACATGGTTGTTTTTCCTTACCTTCTACATTCAATTTTTAGTCACCTCAGATTCACCAAGTGAGACCCCACTTGGAGTACTGTGCACAGTTCTGGTGTCCTCAACATATGAAGGACATGGAGCTGTTGGATCAAGTCCAGAAAGAGGGCCACAAGGATGATCAGGGAGCTGGAGCCATAAGAAGGCAGGCTGAGAAAGTTGGGGCTGTTCAGCCTGGAGAAGAGAAGGCTGCATGGAGACCTCAAAGCAGCCTTCCAGTATCTGAAAGGAAGCTACAAGGATGCCAGAGAAGGACTCTTCATCAGCAACTGCAGTGACAGGACAAGGGGCAATGGGTTTAAACTTCTACAGGGGACTTTCAGATTAGATACAAGGAAGAAGTTCTTTACTGTTAGGGTGGTGAGGCACTGGAACAGGTTGCCCAAAGAAGTGGTAAATGCTCCATCCCTGGCAATGTTCAAGGCCAGGCTGGACAGAGCCTTGGGCAACATGGTCTAGGGTGAGGCACTCCTGCCCACGGCGATGGAATGGAACTCGATGATCTTAAGGTCCTTTCCAGCCCTAACCATTCTATGATTCTATGAACAGCTCTGCACAATGGTCATCAACATTTTCTGGATAGCTAACAGCTGTATGAGGGCTCCACTGTCCTGGATAACATCCATGGGAAACAGTAACAACCTTCATCTCACACTGCCTGGACTGGAAAGCTGAAGATTCCCACCAAAATCCCATTCATGGCCTTTGCTCAAAGGTTATATGCAGCCATCAGCTAGACAAACGGTGCATAATCAGTTTGAAGTATCACTGCTCAAAACTCCTTATGGCCCCCAGAGAAGACATTCACACAGTTACTCCTCAGCCACTGCTTAGAGATGATCTGATTCCTGCTAGTTTCACTGCTAACTACAGGAATTTGAATGACGTGATGATACCTGTGCTTTTGTTTCTGGAGTCAAAGAAAGCCTGTTAAGTTCTCATGCATGTGACAGGTAAAAGCCTATTCCAAAATAGTATCAACCTCCACAAACTCTAGGCTTTTATACTAACTGCATTTATACTCCAGCAAGATATCTGGCTGCGGGAAGCATACTTGCACTTTTTAAGGACCCCAGTGACGTCAGTTCAAACCCAGAATAACTTCATCTTGCACGCAGAATGGGCTTGTGCATGTAATAATAACCTCACAAATCATGACTGATAGTTTTGTCGCATCTTTATATGACACTAATGGTCAAGAGGATATTGTTCCTTTACAGTGTCTGAATCATTCCATGTTGGGCTGTAACCATGAAAGGAACATAGAAGGCACCTGGCAAATAATGTGGTTCCCCGCTTGTATTCAATAAATACATAGCTAAGCTTAAATGGCAAAATCATGAGTGTTTTTATTAGTTTACTAAGAAAACAAAAATTCACAACAGAAGTCATGAATACACTGAATTACATATGAATCCATTATCTGTGATGGCATACATGTATACTACCAAAACCGTCATAAAATCCAAGGTAAAGACAAAAACAATTCAAGTAAATAGCCACAGTTTCTGTATAATGTAACCAAACATGTCCCTCAACTACTTTATATTTTCTACAGCAGCTTCTTGAAAAGAGGGCATACAAAGTAAGATACGTAATTTTTAAGCTTCTGTTTCAAAGTTATGTGAAATCCATTTGCCTGCAGTGGAACGGAGCAAAACAAAGATTTACAAGGTCTGCTGACGTATAAAATCTAAGGAAAAAAATAAAATCAAAGTTGCTTTTTATGCCCTCTAATGTTCTTTTTAGTGGACGAAACAATTTTAGTACTTGCGTATGAGCAGAAAGTCTTTCTTAGAACATCAATATAAAGCTACCTAGAAGAATGCAGTAGTTGCAACAGTCTTTTTAGGTCATTCATATTAGCCCAAGAGGTGAAAAAAAAACACCAAAAATCTGGCCTTATTCTATTAAAAAAGGAAAAAATAAAGCTGTCAGTTGTTTAGCATTCTTAACTCTGGTCCAGGTCAGAAGCTGCACTCATAGCTTATATTTGCATTGGCACCATAAAACATAAGTAAAATATCAAGAGCTACATAATACTTTTTCACACCTTGTTCTCAAAGTAGTTCATATTCCTGAATAATTTTTTTCATGGCTCTAGTTAAAAGCGATTTTACAGTATAAGTTCAAAGGATTCTCTGGTAAACTAGAAGAGGAAACAAGATCATGCACCATCTTGCCTAGCACTCTGACTACTCCATCCTAAGCGTAATGCCAAGAATCTTAAAGTTTTACTACAGGATAACCAAAACTAAAACATGTAATACCAACAAACTGCTATAGACATCAATATTCACCACAAAAACAGCCTTATAGAATAGCTTGTTGAGTGAAACACTGCATAACAATGTCATGAGCTACAATACCATTACAGGAGACAGCGTCAGACATGAAATTCTTGTAATACTAAATTTTTACAATTTCCTGTCACCTCAGGTTTGCAGTAGGAAATTATGTATTTATCAGCATAGAAATACTCTTCAGAGACTATATTGTACAACGTAATAGGTAATGCAAACAGAGATAAGGTTAACATTTGGCTCTGGATAAATAAAAGGATACTCACACACTTGCCCTGACTATCACACATAGTTCTAAATTCATTAAATTATTCAAAATACTACAGGTAGTGGCTCTTCTCAGAGAGTACAATGGACCAGCTTGCTGCTCTGTCTTGATTCGAAGGCACATTACTTATCCTTGTGGTGAGATAAAGCAGTAACATACTAAAAGGTAAGGTGAAGGAGAGCACTTCTACAGAAGCTGCTCAGCTCAAATGAGAATGTGAGCAAGAGGCAGATTGCTATCAGCAACCCAAGGAATACTGCCAGGGTGGTGTACCTGAGCACTGGACAGAAAACACTTTCCAAGTTTCACAAATGGCCAGAGTGAACCTAACAGGCTGCTGTAATGGTGTCCCTCCCACATATTGGACAAAGACAGTTCAAAACCAGGAAACCTGTGTCCTGAAAACCACTGGACATACAAACACTGGCAAGACTAAGTCAGAGCCAGAACTGCTCTAACTGGCAGTGCTACATGGCAAGTAAGAGCCAGGCCTCAGCTGCAGAAGCCTCTTCCGTAGCATTTACTATGCCAGACAAGCAATTTAGCCCCAGGAACATGCCACAGCCACTGGAAAGACTAGCCAGGGCAGTAGTACGTATGGTCAGAAAAATGGGATGTTGAATCTTAAGTGTCTGGATGGACATCTTCAAATCTCTGAAGAAATCTCCCTACTCTTTCCCCTAATTAAATAGAGAATTTTGACATACCACAAGTATAGGTACAAAATCCTATGCCTGGCCACTAGAAATAATTCATACCTGCATTTACTACTGCTTCAGCTGCAGGCTGTCATTTCATCCCACTTCAGTGTCTATGTCATCCTTTCACCTGGGTGTTGGAGTCAATGAACAACCTGGAACATAGTTGTTTGCATAGGAGCTAAGAACGATGCCCAGGGCCATGACTAGAGTATTCAGATACTTCCTCCAATCTGATAAATACCAATCTATCAGTATAGTATTGTTCCACAGAATTTATCTGCTAGTTTTTCAGTGAATTATTTCCAAGAAGACTTAAGCTGATAGCATTCTGCTGTTTCTCACAAAAAGCTATTCTGAGGATAGCATGCGTCACTATTTCTGTTATCCTGCCACTTGCTCAAGTACTGTACAATTTACATTTCTAATCACATAGCCAGCCAATAATATCTGTCTGTACAAGACACCAACAGTGTACTTATTCTGCATACCTACATTTAATATATTGCGAGACAGTGCTAGGTGATTTTTATGGAAAAAAGTCTTTACAAAAAGTTGTGTAACATGGATGCATAAGTGCAATTTGAGACAGTCCCAGAACTACAGGGTTACAGTAAGACACCACTACGGTCTGAACTTCATCCAGACTTTAGTTTCAAGCTCCCATTAAAAAAAAAAAAAAAAAAAGGAAAAAAATCAAGTGAAGATCTATATCAAACTACTTAATTAAAAATTATACTAGTAACATAGCGACAAGTTTATTATAGAGGCACCATCTAGTACGGCACCACTAATTTAAATTCTGTGTAACCGAATTTTTATGCCAACATAACTCAATTCAATTATAACTCCACCAGTTAAAGGTGACTTTTTTTTTTAATACTCTTTTAACACTGCTGGCCAGAATAATATTAACTGCAGGTATAAGATATCTTTATACCACTAAGTATGCACCAGTAGATCTTAAAATTCCCTCCTACACCCATCCTAAGACAATACAGCTGCCACAGAAAGTACAACTTTTAACTGCACAGGTATAGCTGAAGCTGTACAACTCTCGTATACAGAGAAGGCCTAGAAGTATGACTATAAATACACTCCCTCGGGTGCATAAGACACTGTGCAAGTGACCAATAAGGAGTCCCCTTATTTAAAGCTAAGGAATGTCTTTTTCTTTGTTTAGGCGAACAAAAACATCATATTTTGTTCCAACCACTGCGGTTTCCCTCTGTAAGAGAAAAGGGAGAATGTCTGCCGACTCGAGGATCCATAGCAAATCCTCAGTTATAAGGAAAAAAAAATACTATGGAGAAAATACAAGATAGCTCTTCCTTTACAGCATTTATATGAACAGGAGCCTTACCAAAACCTCAAAACAATTATCCAGAAATTCTCCAGCATAATCCCAGTTCAAGAAGCACCAACATGCCCAAGTTCCCCAGTGAACTGACAGCACTTAATGGGCCCTGACCTTCTTAAAATCCTGAGAAAAAAAATCCAAGTAGCCCTGGTTTCTGGCAGCCTCCTGTACTCTATCCAGTGGGATGCTGTTCACCATCCCACACAGGACACAGACAAGCTGCCCACAGAACACCTCTACTGCCCCTGTCCTGTGCAAAGGCGCCTGGACGCTCATACAAGATGCAAGCAAGTACCTCGTCGCCGTGAGGAGGCCTGACAAACCCCCGCCCGCCGAAGGCCTTCGGAGGATCCCGGCGCCCCCCACTCTAGGCCCCTGCCCAGGGGCTACCTCCTGCCCGCCGGCCCCCACGGCCAGCGGCCCCGACCAGCTGCGCAGCCCCTCCCAGACCGCACACGCTCTCCCCGTCCTGCCTGGTAGGAGGACCGAGGAGCCTACGAACTCAAAAACACCATGCCCCTTCTGCAGAGTCCTCGGGACCGGCCCTTTCGCCGCTCCCGTCGAGCCGCTCCCGGACACCCCAGCCCGCCACGACTAGGCCCAGATGCCCCTGCGACGCCGCCACGGCTGGCCAACCCCGAGGCACGGGGCCGGGCAGAACCGAGGGGTAACCCGGGAGGACACGCACCATGTTGAGAGCTGTGCAGGCCTCTTCCCTCACGGCTCAGGCGGAGACTGAGGGCGGCGGCAGCAACGGCTTCCTCCGGCGGCGGCAGCTCCCGGCTCCTCACGGGCCCTTCCGCCGCCTCCCGATCATGCGCAGTGCGGCGCATTCCCCGCGCCGGGAGCCGACGCTGCGCGGCCGCGGCGCAAAGGGAGGGAGCCCGCCCGGCGGGGAGGCTCGGCGCGGCCAGCCCTGGCCCGCTCCTGGTGCCGTCCGGGTTGCCTGCGGGAGCGGCTGGCGCTAGCAGCGCGGCATTTGTGGCAGCTGAGGTGGGGAGTGCCGCGCTGGGGGAGAACAGGAGGTCCTTGGCTCGAGGAAGGGAAGGGAGACGAGCCCACCTCCGGTGTCCTCGGGGTTGGGAGCGGGGCGGACTCCCCTCCCGCGGTGGGCTTGGTCGAGGAGAGGCCGCGGAGCAGGAGCGGGCAGCTGTGGCCTCAGCCAGGAGCGGCGGGGTGCCGCCGCTTTAGGGGCGCGGGCCGCCCGGGTCTCTCATCCCCTCTGCCGCCTCCGACCCCCGGGAGCCGCGGCCACCCCGCGTCCCTTTTCTGTCGGGGAAATTCCTTATTTTCTCAGATACCTGAAACCAAAACGTTTCGCGAGGTGTGCACGCTCGTGGTTAACAAGGGCGCCGCGCTCGCAGGGGTGTTCCGCGGTTTCTGTCGAGGGCACAGCCCCAGCGCATGAACTTCAAAAGACGGAGGATGGAAAAAGCCCGTGGGGTTTTCAGGATGGATTCGGACGGCGTTTGCTGAGCAGCCACGGAGACTTGGGGAAGGTGAAGTCACAGGCTAGCAGCTTTAGAGGCATTTTCCTACGGGACCATCTTCGTAGTTGTAAGATCCTCCTGCTGGAGGTTGTAATCCCCTTTGGGCAGCTATTGCTTCCAGGGGGCTGTTGACAGATGTAGCTTTTTCTGCAGTAGCATAGACATGCTAATAAAAGAGGTTGCAAGCATTAAATCACAGATCGTACCAATATCCGAGACAGTTGATTTTTCCCAAGAAAGCTTACTTTACCTACTACAGATTTCTGGCAGCTGAGGAGGTTTGGGGAAGCAGAGTATTTGCTGATAAAACTCTCAGTGGTGGCAGACTGCTAATTGCGAAGGACAGGTTTGAAATCTCATTCTTGTTCTCTCATTTCCTGCTGAGCTGGGACCTATTAAAATAAGCTTCTGTATTTGTATTACATGACTGATATGATGGGACACACACGAAAGAAATTAAGACTTTAGAAAACCATTCTCCATGATTGAGGTCCAGGGTTTATGTTTTTTAAAGAAAAGGGCCTCAATTGCTCCTCACTTATTTCACTGAAAAGCAGAGCTAAGATTAGATGGGAGTGTGAGGAGTTAAAGCACTATTTGGAGAGGAGAATGAGGCCTGACCTGTGGAGTGTCCAGTTTTGCTGGTGTTCTGAAATGGTAAATTTAAGAGTTTCTTCATATTAAGTATATGGTAATATGTGTGAATTCAACTATCCTGAGAGACGCTAGTTGCCTGGATACCTTAAATCCCACTGAAAAGCCTGTGTTTTGGAATCAAGGGTGGCTGCAAAATGGCCAGTGTAAACAGCCATGAGCACTGCACACCAGCCCAGTCCACGTGAACCAGGGCATGGGAGGCAAAGCCAAACCTGAAAATCTGTTTCACTGAGTTAGCTAATTGCCATCACTATAATGTGCTGTGACAGTCCTACAATCTGAAGAAACAATTTAGAACTGGAGAATTACTGTGACATGTAACAATAATCTGAGAGATTACCTGTGATTGCACTGGATTCCACAGGACAGAGACAGGATTTATAAATGGCTTGTTTTTCCCTAGTATCTGTGAATCTTCCTGGTTTTCTTTAGTGCAGGGTCTGCTGGGTTGTTTTTTTTTTTTGAGTGTGTGTCTGGGGACACACTGTGCTTACTTACTCTTCTAAGAAGTTGTACATAAGGTTATTTTAACTTCAAAGAATGTTGAAAAAGTCTTTAATTTTGCTTCTTTTGTTCACTAAATAATGTACTAAAGCATATTTTGAATGTTTTCTTGTTCAGGACCTAATTAAAAAGGTAGACCTGATTTTATGCATTCAGCGTATGTTTAAAAACATTCCTTGAAAAATTCACCATTGCTACACCTTTTTGTTCAATCTATTATTTTCTTTGTCAGCCTGGGTTACTAATTAGCAGTATTTAAATTAGCTGCAAGTCTGGTGGAATTTATTCTCAATACATTAATGTTCAGAAATTGTTCCTGCCATACCATTTTTTTGTCTGGGAGTCAGGATATTTGAAGCCTGCTTCCAACTTTGACTGACTTGTGATTTGATCTCTCCAACTTACTAAATTACCCACATTATGAATTCCTGCTGTATAAAACATAGAAAATCATATTTAACTGCTTTGCAGGAGCTTCTTATTAGGGCAGATAAAAGCATATGATTCAGTAAAATGCAAATCAAATAAAACGTGTGAAATGCAGATTAATGCTATTCCTATTGTGCATGCTGCTGTTTTGTTGTTGGCTTGGGTTTTGGTTTTTTGTTTGTTCTGTGGTGGTTTGTTTTTTTTTTTGATTTGGGGGTTTGTTTGGTTTCATGTTTTTTCAGTTTCAGTTACAAGGTGAAACTGTACACAAGAAAATTAGTGGCTTTCTGCTGCCATTTAAGCTGTAAATCCAGCGTTACTGATTTTAGTGGGAGCTACAGTATGCTCTTCTGTCTTGTTTATTACAGTACTTACATGGGTATGCCTGAATTGACAAATCAAATGTAAGTTACGGTACCCAGAGCTCTTTACTACCACTGCCAGGCTATCTGGTGCCTCAGCCTGAGCCGGTTTGATTAGACTGCTTGAGTTATCTTCTCCATACATGGCACACTGCAGTAGGCATATCCTGCACAGCAGATGCTTCAGGACACAGTCAGATGGCCCCAATTCCATTCATGTCCATATGCCTACTGGCAGGCTGTACATCTGCAGATGTAGATCTGCAGTTCAATGATGCGTGTGCCATCTGAATTTCAGAATTTCTGAGCAGAGGAGATGCTTTATAAAGCAAGAGGCACCATGAGGCTGCCAAAAAGTGTACATGTATGTGTTCAGAGTAAGTTGTCTAAATTGGGCTTTTTAGCTTTTGTACAACTCCATCCAGGATGGCACACCAAGTCAGACCAGTGATAAACAGCTCTGCTATTTGTAAACGTGACACACATGCAGCGATACAGACTAGGAGGAAATATTATTCATTGTGCAATCTGCATGCAGCATAATCACTGTGACCACAGTACATAATAACTTGTTTAGTTTATGGTAACGCTGACATGCTTGCTTTGCTTTGTTGTGAGATCCAGTGATGTTTTACCATCTCATGTGAACCCTAGAACTAGTCAGTGATTTTTATGAATCCAGATGTGTCACATGCATAGTTGTGAATATAACATTGCTCTCTTTTACACTGACTTGAGCTCTCTAGCAGGCAGAGAAGAAGGTCTCAGGTGGAGTTAGTGCAGAATCCATTTAGTGTAATCCCCTTGTTGAGAACTTCCAGTTAGAGCAATTTCTGAGGAAGAAGCCCCAAGCTTTATGAAGGATAACAGTAACAGTAACCTGGAACAGCTTGACTTAGAAATGTCTTTCTAACCCACATATCTTTTTGGCAGCTACTTTCTACTCTAGAAAGTGAAACCACCAATTCAGCTTACGCTAATGGTATAGCTGTAAAGTGGTTACAACTATGTCCCTTTGCCTGCAAATGCTG